TTTATGGATGAAAATGCGCACGTTCAAATTGCAACATTCTTCTTGGCTAAGCTACTGTAATTTAGAATGTGCCGATGGGATCAATAAAACGGTCATCGACACCGTTAAATCCGACCGGCGCCGCAACGTTATCGTATCTTTCGTCATCTTATCATTTAAAAATTTTGATATTTTATCGAATATTTGTTTTTTATAATAACACGTGCGACTTAATCGTTGATAAATGATTACTAAAAGTAAATATTACCTCTTGTTACGCATTATTTGAACTTAAATTATAGGTAGTTGTTCACGTAATGAACGACTAAAATATTCATTTTTTCTTCACTTATTCCTAGGAAAATCAATTATTATTAACATTTCTGCAGACTCGAAACGTTAAAATTGTAAATAAAGGCGGTGCATGTGCAATAAAATTTCTCTTAAATTAGAATCCTTTATTCTTAATGTATTAAAATACTAACGTAAATCTTCATAACACGTGTGTAAAAATGATTTTAATAAAGAAAATCGTTTTGAGACTCTGCGATAAATCATTACACTGAAACTGGTAGCATCGTTGCGTTTCTTGTCTATTTCTGAGAAAACTCCCACCTACCCGTAATCTTTCATTAGCTTGTGTTAATAAGAAGATAAATATTATAAACGCTGGTAATTGTAGTTGCAATTTAATCGCCACTGAAAAGTATGTGGACGATTCAACTGTTAGACTATATTTTTTGCACGTTTATGCATTTGCCCTTCACCATGATAAATGACAGAGTCAATTTATATATCCTTGGCATGAAATAGTATCATCATTTTATCACAGACAGTCAAGTAATCGTTAGGCAAATCAACTTGCAAGTCTACGTGGAATGAATATACACACATGTCACTTTTCAATGACGTAACGTGTTGAATAACAAACTTTGCTTGCTGCACGTGTCGTAACTATTTCGAGACTATGATTATTTTTCACGCTTATATACATTTTTAACGTTTATATTTTATTTTAGTTGTGTATATATTTGTTTGTCGTTTTTAATTTGTAGCTATCTACATCTTTGATACTTGTAATAATTAAATAACATCTATTAAAACAATATATTCCATAATATTTTAAATTTCCGAAAGCACGCGTAAATATGTTGCAACGTTATATAATCGTGCAAAATATAAATTAAACTATAAATGCTGTTATATATTAATTTCTCATTAGTATAATTATTGAGTTAAAAATTATCGCTAATTTAAAGATTGTATATTAATTTGTATTAAAAGTTACCATTGTTAAAAATGCTACATCGGAACTAACTTGTAACAAAATTGCTTGATATAGGTGCAGCTGCAGATCGCAATTTCTAATTTGCACGAACATGCCTGAAATTCCTGTCATTTTCCTATTCTATCCCACACGTATAAACGCGCGTGCAATATTGCACGCAATTAGAATTTTGGACAGCTACGCCCGCGCCGGCCGATGTATTTCGCGCAGCGCGCGTGATCGCTGAATAATGTAATTGAAAACTACCGACGAGCGGTCCATTTCGTTTAATCGGTTCATATAAATAAATCGCACGGACTGTGAATACAGCGCGCCCGATACTTCAGAATTGCATGCGAGTATATAATTTTAGTCATGGCCATTAACGATTCAATCGAATAGTGATACTTATCGGCTTTGCCCGAGAATTAATTAAACCGTTAAAAATTCATCGCCATCGATCGGACTTACGAAACGCGTTCAGGAATTTCGTCCAACCGCGTGCTTTAACATGGATGTTTGACAAATTAACATGTATTTTGGAATAACTGATGACAAAGTTCCGTCACATAATTTAATATCAATATCACTGATATAATTTTAAAAAATGTATTAATTATACTTCTCACGACTGATAGACTAGACAGTTCAAAGTTCATTAGTCTACAGTCTACACCGTACATATTTTTTGTCGATAAGAGGTTTGTAAATCTTTTAAAAAATAAATAATTCCTCATTTATTCATATTAACTTATTCAGTACTAACACATCAATAAGATATCAATAAAACTAAAAATGTACTCATTTTGTAATAAAAACTTTTGATAAACAAAGTCGATCAATACATCAATAGAATCTAGCTCATATGCTTCAACAATAATAATAAATAATACTAAGCCGAAAACGAGCAATGCATAGATGTCATAAATAAAAAATAGTTTAATCTCTCAATACATATAACCTATCTATATATAAACTCGATCAATACAAATCGAGCAGATGTCTATATATGCAGTGCGATAATCGCCGCGTATACATCTGTACAATTAGATACAATATTATCTCAATCTATTCGTGTATTCGTTTTTAAATATGACATTTACAGTCATATCAAAACTAATTTTAATTTATATTGAGTTCATAACTAATTATTAAATAAGTCATTTGTTAGAAACATAACACTAAAATATTATATAAAATACAATATTCAAATTTAACATAAAAATATTTCTAATCTAATTCTATATACATTGCCGCAGTTATTTTACATTTTGGATGCTATCTGATAACAAATTTTGTATATTGTATATTTTAAAAATATCATGGTGTTATACATGTCAAGAAAATTTGTTCCTCTAATTTTTAAAATAAAATGTAATTCCTATATTTGTTTATTTTTATAGTTTTAGTATTACTCAAGATTAAAATTAAACAATTAAATTTAAAAACTTATTAATTAAAAAAAATCTTATCTATAATTAAAAATCAATAAAATAAAAAAGGGTTTACTAGAGCCACAACTAAGAGCTCGTGTCGATGTATTCAAACAGAAAGGCAGCTTAAATCAAAGTATCGTTAAAAAGCATCATGCTGACATAAAAAAATCTTCTCTTCGATCATCTCCGACCATCGCATCGACTAGAAACTGACCGTGAGTTTGAAAATGTTCAGACTAAGAAAAAACCGTCCTATATGCAAAGAGACTGATCTCGGAGATGGTGCACATCAAGCGTCAAACCTCCGCTATAAACAAAGAAAATGACAACAAACTCCTATCCAAAAAATACTTTCTAGTAATTAAGTTTATTTCCCACACATTAAATTGTTTCCTTTGTTCCCTACTCTCCCTTAAACAACCCCTCCCTCTTTCTCCTTTTTCCTTCCTCGCTCCTTATCAATCTGGACAAAGTCTGAAATCCACTTCTAAAAAAGGTACAAAGAAAAAAAAGGTATAAAAAAAACATCTGATATAAGGTAAACGGGTAAATACCCATTGGATCCTGATAAAATTTTTTATTACTCTAATGTGCAATGCTGCAATTCCACGCTCATAATCCAATGGATTACGTTGTTAAATCGAATAATATGGTACAATCAAGATAAAGACTAATCACAGACAACGATGACTTGCGCGGATGTCGTAACGTTTACTGTGCGATTTTATAATGGCGTCAATTAACTTCCTGAACAGCGAAACAACCGCGCGTGCGAATTGTTGAAGAACAAAATATCATCTGTTACATAAAGATTCTAGAGATTGCTTGCATTTTATAAAATGCAAACTCCTTGCTTATTCATCATTTGCGTGCAAATAATTAATTAATTTTATATATTAGTCCTTATATTATTAATCACGTATTAAATTGAATGTCTAATAAGCATACTTTACATAAAAGATCGATTTTATTGTTTGAATAGATGTTTTGAAATATCATTGTCTGTGATTATTGTTATCGTTCATCGTCATAATATCGACATAGTATCATTATCATTATGTAGTATGGATATATCGATATCTCATTGTATGAAATAGATAAGCATTTTGATTAACATAATACAATTAATACATGATTGCCGACATTAAAATCATTCAGAAATATTTCAGATTAACATCTTTTCTTCATAATTTACTTTCGTAATTTGCTTTTTTTATATTATATTACATTCTAAGTACACGTGAGCTGTTTCTTAGTAACATGCGTGCATCACGCACTTAAGATTACCAACCGGAAATTCTCACGATAGTTAACATGTGTCTCAGTTCCAAATTTACCAAATTATTTTCGTAATAATCATTATAAAATTAAAGATGTCGAAATTTGATTAATATTTTAATGATTATTAAAATCTGAGTTACATTAACAGTACAGTGAAGTAAGTTAAGTAAAAAAATGTTAGAGACGTATATGTTATTACAAAAGTAGTTGTGGATGAAAATGAAAAAATATATATGAACAATTTTTTATGATTTGAGAGATCAGTAGACAATTCACATTTTTTTAGTCATGGAAATCGAAGAAGAATAAATATTTTAAGAGGACAATAATGCGGAATATACACAATTTTGTAATAAATTAAATGTACATGCAGGCAAAAATACATAATAAGCAAGTATTAAACGCATTTGTCACTTTAATTATCAGTACGTTGATGAAGTGTAGTCTCGCTTCATTTATTCAATAAAAGAGCAATATGTATGTTGACTGAGATGCATATATATTGACGCAGAGTGTGAAATCCGCGGAGATTTTTTCCCCTTAAATATCACATATGAATTTCATATCCCGAGATAACGCTCATGATAGACGACCTTCGTGAATAATTCCACTATATTCTCGCCGTTCTGCAGAAAAATTATTCAAGTTTAGGATGACGGTATTATGGACGGCGACGAATAATGCATGAATTAATTTTGGAAATCGTACATCCTTACACGGAAAAAAAGGATTATAGCTATTATAGCAAATTTAGTTGTAAAACAGGGATAACTAACATTTTTTTGCAGCGAGAGCTATAATTTAGCAATAGTAGCAAAACTTTAACAAAAGGTAATCCTTATTTTCCGTGCAAAATCTGATGAATTTCATGCATTCCTCCGAAATCTTCCTTTCTTAATATACATATTCACACATTCATGTACAATATATACTCATTTATAATTTCCTTTAACGTTTGCCAGTCTCAATGAAACAGGACTCCCTCTCTTGTCTCAATATCAGGATGGCAAGTGCACGCTTCTAGCGGCATCATGCTTATCGTATTCAGTTCATGATCGCACGAGTGTTAGTGTCTTATCATCACTCTGTTATCTCTCTCGATTAAGTTAACGTCTATTAGTTTATTGAGGCTAAATCGACATGAGTTTAATGCCAAATCTCAGTTATCTCAGGCTCAGAATAAATCAGGAAGTCCGACGGTATAAATGGTGACCAAGCAGATCATGTGTCATGTTCGTGACAGTCGTCATCTGCGGTGCCGAATGAAAATATACGTATACCCGCAATTTCATTCAAGAGTATAAAAGATGCACTGATGTAGATATAAAGCCTGTCACTTCTGAGTTCTGCGTGCATCACTTCGCGACTTTACGAAACGGCACAGTGAAGTGAGCATTTAAGTGAAATAGACAACCAAAGTCGAAGCAATTTTTACAGGTCAGTGTGTGTCGATTATTATCAACACTCTGTTTTCCACAAACTGACATTCGGTCGGAATTTATTGATAAAAATTTTAGATAAAGTCTTGTAAAACATGTAATTATAGTGAACTCTTATACCGTATTATACTTCAAAAATATGAGATCAACTTGCTAATAATGCAATAATATGTGATAATAGAATGATATAAATATGAATAAATAGGAATAAAAAGCACATGAATAAATTATGTGACACATAATTTTATAGACTTTAATATAATTTAAGAAAATATGATTTTACAAAAATGCTACATTAGTGGAAAATCTCAAAAGTTTATTCCGTCTAATTTGCATGGAGTTACATGAGTTTGAGAGAAGAAGAGTTTAAGTTATAAACATACATAACGCAAACATTACGAACGTGATTATAAGTTGTTATGATATTTGTCTAGCTTATAGACAATATTTTTTAGAGCCGCATAAATAATTTTCCATATCTTTAAACAATCTTATACTTTATAAAAATTAATATAATAATGTAGAAATTGAATATCAATATAAATCAAATACATCTGTCTAACACAAAAAAATAACGACGTCTCTTCTTTACTTCTTAAATTAAAGAAGATAGGCCATAACAAATATCATTTCAATTTCTCAATGCAATAAAATTTGTTACGTTTTTTGAGATTAACAGCCAGAAATTATTAGTTGAATTGACGTCAATTGCATCGATAAATAGTTGATATCAGATACTAGTTGATATCTTTGTCATCTTCGACCTTGCTTTGTCATCTTTACAATTGTTTTTAATTGAGAAATTGAGACTATTTCTGTGAGACTTTTATTGTCTTTCGGCTAACTCTATTTCGAATTAATCCAAAGTCGGAAAGCACAATATAGATATATACATATTACGTATTCGATGTGAATAGAAAGAGAAAGAGAGGGAGGGGGAGAATTGGCCAAAAGACATAGAAATATTATAGAAATATTTATGATTACTCAATTAACATAAAAACAATTACAAAAAAAACAGTATAAGTAAATATAAAGCCAAAAATGACAAAAATACTAGTCAGTATTCGACATCGACTATTCATCGATGCATCGATGTCGATTCATCGATCGACGTCGAATGCATGATGTCGATTTGATTAATCATTTCTGACTGCGTAAATATAATAAGCACACATATAATTTTGACATATAATGATAGTAATATATTTATTAAAATATAGTTTAAAAAGTCAATTAAATAAACCAAACATTAGTTCGGTATCAAGGCTTATTCAAAAAGATAAAAAAATTAATTAGAATGGTGCAACATATTTTTGTAGCTCTCGACGACTTGAGGCCGACTTTTGATGCCTTTAACAATTAAGCAACAGTATGTTATTCTAATATTAAAATGTATTAAAATAAAAATGTATAGAAATCTGTCGTAAATACTTCTTAGAAAAAACTACAATAATGGTAATATAATAAAACGAACAATCAAACAGATTTACATATTTAACTACGTGACGTAGCAAATTGATGATTATTTATTGACATTGAAAATTGTGAAGCTAGCCAAAGGCAATTTTTTCAAATAAATAAAAGGTAACATATTAAGACGTAACAATGTACAACGATTTCGATTGAATGATAATCCTAATTTGACTTCGATATAAAGAAATTATACGTTCATATTCTTTAATAGCACAGTGACTCTACTGCAAGTGTATAATTATGTGTTACGCTTTATCTAAGCATGACATACGCGATTACATACTTGCTTGAACGATTATTACGACAAACGAATAGTTTTTAACTTTAACCTCATTTTTGTTTTTGTTTTCGTAATGATTAATGTTAGTATGTTAGAGTTATATAATGTGAAAATAGTATGAAAAAGAGGTATTACGTAATCAGATATATCAATACATATTTATGAAGTATACGATTTGTATAATTATATGCATTTTTTAAATGTTACTATCTATTTTATTAAAATTCTCTTAAATCCATTTTAATCAATTTATTACATTAATTATTGCAATTAAGATGTATTACAATTTAATTAAAATAAAATTTATTTAACGTCGATTAAAGAACAAAAAGTTTTGTCACTTATTTGTATTTCTGGCACTTGATTAGTAAACCATTTTCAATGTGGTTTACATCATATGCTATAAATTATTTATATATTATTAAAATTATATGTGTTCCTCATAAGTTAAGTTCCTCATTAAACGTCCATCTAATAATAAGCGGATTTGATTCTGAGAAAACCGCGGAAAACATTTCTGAGAAAACTCATCAAGGTGAAATATGGCCGACGTCGTTTGACCACAAGTACGTACGCGATCGCGGCACGCCAGACGCGTCGTAAATTTCTCGCAAATACCGCAACTCGATCACGTTCGACGGGATCTCAACGCGGAACGTACGTATGCCGTTGGCCAAAAAGGGAAAAGGGTAAGGCGGCTTCCCATTACGCTCTTAATTGAAACAGCGATCTCAAACGTAGGAGAATGCGCCCGTCTTGAATATCGACGGACATAAAGAAAGAAACGACGGTGAAGCGGGGAAAAAACGGCGGAAGGAGCGCAACGAAGGAAAGGGTGGAAAGGCCGGAATGAGTGGGAGGGAGCCGGCTGGAAAGGGAGAAAGAAAACGTGATAAATCTCGCCGCGAACAATAAGTTATCGTAAAGAATCGTTTTCGCGTTTCGTGACACGGCGGGAAGAACAATGATTTGTCGGGAAAATTCTCCAATTCCAATTCCAATTTCAGAAATGGCCCTAGAGACACCGGCATGGCTGAATCTATGCTTCGTAGAGAAGATCCTGCGAAAGTCGGAAGGCGACAACTCGATTCAGGTGATCGATATATTCTCGAAACCGGCCACGGCTAAGGGTGACAACTACACTAGCGACATGATTAGGGTTACTGCCGAATTTTCGCGTGACCAAGGCGGCAGTAAAATTACGGAGAAGAAATCAATCATTGTCAAAATCTCGCCTCTAGTTGAAGGCATTCGTCAGGACATGGTAAGTTGATTGAACTAATATAATATTTCTAATGCAAATGGATCAAACTGCAGATTCCACTATTTCAAAGTAGATTTCTATTCAACAAAAAGCTCAAGACAATTATTTTTAAGGCAATCAATGATTAAAAATAAAATTATTTTTATCAAGTTCAAAGAGGCACAAATATTGAAAAAAAATATATGCTTCAGTCATTTTAAAATCAATTTTGATTTGCGAAATAGAATTATTATTTATTTGTCATCTCTGTCAACCAAAACTTTTTATTTAAACCCTTACATTACAAAAATAATTGCATGCTTGTTTGATTAAAAGATTTTATTTGTTAATCTTAAATAAACTTAATTAAATAATCTTAAATAAACTTTTCACAGATTGAATTATCAGGCATGTTCCACACCGAGATATCGATGATGTCAGATACTTTGGATAAAATGAATAAGTTGTTAGGGCCGGAGCATCGCTTAAGCGGGAAAGGCCTATACGTGCAAAATAAAAATCCAACTCTTCTGGTGATGGAGGATCTCGCGCCTCTCGGCTTTCGCATGGCTGATCGTCTGTCTGGCCTTGACCTAGCTCATACCATATTGGCGCTTGACGGACTAGCCAGGTTCCACGCAACTTCAATAGCCATATGCGAGAAGGTAAATCATCACGCGTGACTCACTTGTAATGTCTCATTGCGATTATCACAAATTCAGGTCAGTGGCACGAAACCATGGATCATACAAGGTGCAAATTTCCATGTTAATATGTAAAACCCATGCATGATATAAGTAATATATTTATATGAAAAAATCATTTTGTATTGCATGCTAGGAGACTTCTTGCACTATATTATACGAAGTATTAAACACGCATTATACATAATCGTCGGAAATATTCAAAAGTTTCATGTAATAGACATTAATGTATTTTGAAGCGACGAAACATTAATTTCTTCGAATACTGTCAAGAGATAAGTTTGAAACTTGTAAAGCTTTAAGACAATGTGCTTAACACTTTAATTCTATAGAAAAGTAGTTTCTAATTAATAATTTAAAAAAGTACAAGTGTTTTGTTTTAATACTGTGTAGTGTACAAACATATTGCTCAACTTCATACTAAATTGAATTTTCTTGTTGCATAAATATATAGTGGCGAGCAAAGTTTTTACGTTTTACAAATAAGCATGTATCGGGAATTTTATAAATAGTGCATTTCATCATCCGTTTTAATTTATTTAGAATAAAATATCATACATTCAACACTTTTTGTTAAAAATAATAATAATAATAATAATATTTCTCGTATAATAAATTCAAATTCAGAATAGAATAGACGCAATTAATAAAATATATACAAAATAAAATATATTTACAATATAAAGTTACAAATCTTTTGCAGATATATTAATCTCATGCTGTACTTATATAATTAGTTTCAAATTGTTTAATAACATGTTTGAAAAGATGAAATTTAGCAAATTTAGCTCATCTTTTTTGTCATAAATGATGCATTTAAGACTCAAGTATTGTAAATTACTAGTAATAAAAGTCATGAAAGATTTATAAGACCTCGAACAGATATATGTTAGAATAAAGAAAAGTTATTATGTCCATTGACGATTGTTACGTAAGTGAATCTATCCAAGCTAAATATCGTGGTCCTAAACTCTGATACTACAGATATGTACACTGTAATAATGCGTGCAGCATAATGGTTACTGTAAACCGCAGCGATTTCGTATGGTCGAATGGGAGTTCGAAACTACACGGCGAATGATCCAGTAGAAATGTCTGGCGGAGAATAACCGTTTTAACCAAAGTCCAATATCCTTTATTATCCTTTATTACAGCACGTGCCTCGGCGTTTAGCCAAGAAAACAATTTTAAAAAATATTTTTCATGAAAAAAAACTACAACTTACTCAAATCATATATCAAATTAAATCTGGTCCTCAGTCAACGCGATTATTTGTGCGTATGATAAATCAAAATTTACTTATTTATTCTTCTTACATCTTTGTCTGAACGTTTCGACTCCGCATTGCGTCATCATTAGCGGCATAACAAATACAATTTAATAATTCTCACGATCTCCGTTACGCTATGGATGAGTACTTCGGGACTAGAAAGTCGAAAAGCTGATCTGCTTCGGGACTAGAAAGTCGGAAAGCTGATCTGCTCGTAACGTGTTGACGTATATGGTTGGAATGTGATGTCACAGTCAAGTGATCAGGAGAACGCAAGTATGGAAATATTAATCGACTCTACTGACCATTATAATCGCCAAGACAATACGACCACGATTTGGTTCGATTATCGTCATGTAATCTTTAATACTTATATTATAAGCATCTCATTTAAATAATTAAATTTATTGCGAAAAATATTACCTTAGCCAGGGTTTTTTTCACAATTTTAATTATTTAAATGAGATGCTTATATATAAGTATCATGCAAAGATTACATGATGATAATCGAACCAAATTGTGGTCGTATTGTCTTGGCGATTATAATGGCCAGTAGAATTGATTAATATTTCCATTGTTGTTTATTATTTGACACTGGCGAAGTAAAAGTATTTATTCTGTTTTAATTTTTATTATTCATCATCGAGAGTCCTAATTATTTGATTTAAATATCAAATTATTCTCTTACAATTAGTACCTAAGGAAAATCGACTTTTCCTCGACTAAAATATCGCGTATATCAAATACCTTCAAAAATAAAGCAATTAAAAAGGAAGGGCTTTCAGCTTTTAACTTAAATGGACACGTATGTGCCTAACTAATTGTAAGCAGTAAGTCCTTCTACATTTATAAAATCGTAATTTGTAATTTATATTGAAATTTACATTAAGAAATTGTAACAATGGTTCTCCTCGTAACTATCTTCAAGAAAAAATATTCTCTAAAGGACCCGCCCGCAACGGTCATGGGGGGTTTTGGCTCCCAGTCAAATTTAACAATAATGTAGGATAATTTAGTTCATAAAATGCTGATGAAAAGTGTCTATAGGCAAAAAGCCCAAAAATGGACAGTTTCCGAGATATAAGTCATTAAAGAGTGGAAAAATGAGAGTTTCAGGTTTCAGCTAATGGCAGTTTGCAACAGGCTGAATGCCATGCTTTCACTAAAACATTTACTTGATTGCTGAATGAATTATACTTATGCACAGTATGCGTGTTCACATAGTCAAGTCAATGATCAAACCATACATAACATAATGTCATTGCATCGAATGACATGTATGCAACATATACCGGGTGTCTAAGACCACCCGCCCACCCCTTTTCTTTCAAAAACTAAACATTTTAGAGAAAAACGTTCCAGACAAAAATTGTATGGTTTTGAGGGAAACATAAGATGGTGTCATTGATTTGACTTTGGGTGGCATCGTTAAGGACAGGTCAAGGACACCTTCAGTTTCTTAAATGGAACCTTTTATTTTTTATTGCATATTCTTATAGCTTATGTCGAGAGCTTTCCAAAACACTATAATTAAGTATTTTTTCATTAAGTACTTTTTGAGTTATAAGGCTTGAAAGTTACAGTACCTATTGTGACATAATATTTTGTTGAGTATTTATAATTCAAATTCCTTACTTTTTATTTTTGCAAACAATATGAATCGATTAATGTAAAAAAACAAAATTTTCTTAAAGAAAAACTTGTTGTGTAAGAGCGTAATGTGGCACAGTAGATAGCGCACTAATCTACAAAGCTGAAGAACAATTTTAATGCCATTTATAATGAGTGTAATTCTTGTACCGTTGTTAAGAACAGTGTCTAAAATACCTGGAATAAACTATTGCGCGCTGTGTAATTTCTGTAGGCATTCATATTCATGCATTAAGTTTCATTCTTACAGAATGTCTATTCACCAAGTACATATTGAATTACTTTCGATAAAGACTTAAATTTAGCGTATACCATGAAAGAAGAGTACCGATTTTTTATTGTGTGATTGATAGTTATTAAAAAAGCATTTTTCCTAACGCGAGTGTAAAATAGGCCGCTCACCCCGAATCGTGAGAGGCAAGAGGACTCACGCAAATCAAGCACCCCGAATCGTGAGAAGCTAAGAAAATAATGAATATGCAATAAACAGTTACACAACAAGTTTTTCTTTAAGAAAATTGTGTTTTCTTTACATTAATTGATTCATGATGTTTGCAAAAATAAAGAGTAAGGAATTTGAATTATAAATACTTAACAAAATATTATGTCACAATACTGTAACTTTCAAGCCTTATAACTCGAAAAGTACTTAATGAAAAAATACTTAATTATAGTGTTTTGGAAAGCTCTCGACATAAGCTATAAGAATATGCAATAAAAAATAGAAGGTTCCATTTAAGAAATTGAAGGTGTCCTTGACCTGTCCTTAACGATGCCACCCAAAGTCAAATCAATGACACCATCTTATGTTTCCCTCAAAACCATACAATTTTTGTCTGGAACGTTTTTGTCTAAAATGTATAGTTTTTGAAAGAAAAGGGGTGGGCGGGTGGTCTCAGACACCCGGTATATGTTGCATACATGTCATTCGATGCAATGACATTATGTTATGTATGGTTTGATCATTGACTTGACTATGTGAACACGCATACTGTGCATAAGTATAATTCATTCAGCAATCAAGTAAATGTTTTAGTGAAAGCATGGCATTCAGCCTGTTGCAAACTGCCATTAGCTGAAACCTGAAACTCTCATTTTTTCACTCTTTAATGACTTATATCTCGGAAACTGTCCATTTTTGGGCTTTTTGCCTATAGACACTTTTCATCAGCATTTTATGAACTAAATTATCCTACATTATTGTTAAATTTGACTGGGAGCCAAAACCCCCCATGACCGTTGCGGGGTCCTTGTTAAGAAATCATATATTATTAAAATTAATATCGTAGATTTTTTTATATAGCCTCATGTATACATAAAACGTTCTAAACTTCCAGTCTACACTACAAACTTATTTACTAAATTTTATAATTAAATGAATAAATATCAATATTCTTTGATAAAAATATTTTAATATCTAGGAACCAAAGCAAAAAGAAATGTATTCGAAAGGAATGTTTAACGAGCAGTACCCACCAGAAATGAGCAATTTTTTTAATATGAGTGTTAAAGCTTTAGCAGATGAGGTTGCAAATTGGCCGGGAATGAAAAAGTAAGATTTACCCTACATCCATACACGCAATATTTATTAATCTAATTCTTAATATCTAAGATAACGTAAATAAGCGTATTGTATAATAAGCAAAAACTGGCAAATATAGATGCAGAAATTGTTGTTTAGAATATACACAGCAAATATTTATGATTTTTTTCATAATTTTATAGAATTCCATGTTTATGTGACTTTTATTATTAGATACTCGGAAAAAATTGCTAAACTCACCGACCACATATATAAAATAGGTATAAATGCAACCAAGCCATGTGAGGATGAATTCAATGTTATTAATCACGGTGATTTTTGGGTAAACAATATGTTGTTTAAATATGACAATAATGGCAAACCTATTCAGCACATTTGTGTAAGTACCACCACATTATAAAAAATCATGTATTTTCTTTAAATGTAAATGCTTATTGATTTATTATAATCAGGATTAAAAAATTTAAAATTAAATGACGAAATTTATGAAATCTAATTTGTACCTGCATGTAATGACATGATTTATATTGTTAAAACAGCGTATATTTACTTTAAAACTGTAATATCTTAAAAGATTAATTTTGAAAAATGTAAAGGATTGTGAGCATAATTTAAATATAGCATCGGTCACTTTATTTTACTTATCTATAATATTTCTGAATTTTCATTATTATTTTTGTAGTTAAATGCAATGCAAAATAAATTTACGTAAAAATAAACAAAATAAATAAAACAAATACATAATATTCTGAAAAGTATACAATATATGTTAATACATTTTAATGATCCACAATGTTGACTTTAGAGATCAAGACAAAGAGGCGGCGCTAATATGAGATATTTGAAATTGCAGTATATTATGAATAATGCATAAATCCAGTTTGATCGCATTCAGGTACATCCGCCACCTGTCTGCCCGTGTCATTCGCGCAAACTCTCAACTTTCTCGCCGCGACTTCCAAAACACGAGTCCCACTTCTTTCCCGGGGCACGAATTTCATTTCCAATTCAATTGCCAGGAGCTCAAAAAATCGGTCGATCGACAGAGTTCGTTTGATATTACAGGTGGACTTCCAACTATGTGTCTACACATCGCCGGCAATCGATCTTCAGTATTTTCTCAGTACAAGTCCTTCCCCGGATGTCATTGAAAACAAGAAAGATGTTTTATTAAATGAATATCTTAGCGCACTGTCGGCGACTATGAAGCAACTGGGCTGCAAGACGCAGCCACCCACCATAGAAGAACTGAAAGCTACCCTAAAACGTAAAGCCAGCTATGGAATGATAGCATCCTTCTCAATTTTACCGATCGTGCTGTGCTGTAAGACTGAGGCGAAAGATTTGGATGAAATCATGAGCAGTGGCTCTTATTCAAATCCGGGTCTAAAGGGCGAGAGTTATAAAAAATTGATGATGAAGAGACTTCCAATGTATGACGAATGGGGTTTGCTAGATCTTTAATGCATACTTGACTTTTATTGTAATAAATAATGTAGAAAAAAAAATAATAAGCATGACAAGGTATAGAAAATACATTAAAATAAAAAACAATAGAATAATAAAAATATTAATGCACTTTAAAAAAAGCCATCATGAAATTGATATGATAACGACAGATCTTTTAGTTTGATAGATAAAAAATTATTCTTTTATGATGTAATATAATGGTTTTATATATATATTGTATATATATAACGAATTAGCAGTGCAAATGTAAATAATAAAACAACTATTAAATATGGATGAGATATTCTTATTTTTACAATAAAATTATATTTAATAAATTAAATAAAAATAGAAGAATGGAATATATAACTGAATATACATATTTAGTTCAGTTCAGTTTCAAGAACATATGTATATATACATATATTCTTGACACACCCACACCCCCCCCCTCACACACACACACACACACACACAGAGCGGCTCAAATACAGTGCTACAGATTAATTCGTCAGGATCCACTGGATAAAAATAAGTGATTCAGATGGCGATTTTCTTATTAAAGAGGCTTTTAAGTGATGATAAATGAAACTGGACCGACATAAATCTAAAAATTAAATAGAGATAAATAGAGAAATAATAATATTTCTGTGTAAAAAGTTATGTTTTAAGACCGACAAATAATCGGCGTACAGTTTGCTAAATTGAAAAAAAGATACAAAATTCACACAAATATTATTATTAGGGGCTACCAAGATCCAGTCCGATCGAAGATGGCCTTTTAGTGTTCTACAATTGAATTTTGAAAGCTTCCTGAAGAAACGGCAGACAAGAAACTTTAAAATTTGAAAAGGTATCTTATGAAAAAAGTAACATAAAAACCAAGCAACTCTTACTTAAAATGTTTCTTTCTAAAACCATTATATCAAAAGTTATGAATCATAAAAAATAGAGATCTGTTGTACAATCAATTATATATAGTACGGTTGTCTAATCCAGCGTGGTTCCTGACATATTAATCTGTAACATTTTATTTAAGCCACTTTATAAAATTATATATATAATTTCTTATACATATATATAAAATATATATAAGAAATTTCTCATATACATGTATATAAGAAATAAAGATTACTATAATTATATTGAGAAAAATCTGAGAATTATAATATTATATAAGAAAACTTAATTATTTTCTCTTTAATGGCTTTTTAATTATCTTTTACTCTCTACTTTGTCATACAAAGTTACAAAATACTTCTTTTTACGATGCAAAATGAGAGATTATATAATGTTTGACCTCGTTGACTTGGATTAACATGGATTACTTCAATTACAGATCACATTAAAAAACATGAAAGACTCTACATTTTAATATCATTGATAAACTTGTTACAGTTGCTTATACATATATTTGTAAATTTAATGTAAAAATCTTCAATGTTTTAATTTCAGAGATTATAATTCAAGGTTTCAGAGATTATAATTCAAGATTTTTAATACATTTTCAATCTCTTTCTCCCTCCCCCTCCTCTCTCTCTCTCTCTCTCTCTCTCTCGCAATATTATAAACTTCACAATTCGTCTTGTTTTTCTTTAAAGTTTTTTTTCAATTTAATTCGAAATTCTATATAAAATTTAATTTTTAAATCAAATTTTATTTTCGAAGTTCATGCAGTCTAATTATATTTACAAGTTAACTTAGTTTCATCTATTCTTTATTAAAATTTTGAAAATTAGTACAAAAATTAATTATGCATAGTATTAGAATCAATGCTTTAACATATTAATTATAAATTATTTGGTCTTTCCGATATTTTATTAATTTTTTATCCTTCACATATATCTTCAAAATAGCCAGACAGATTTAGATTGAAATTGAACTTTCATAACATTCGTTGTAGAATAATCCTGGTTTTGAATGAATCTACTCAACACAGTTTTGCGTGCATGTTGGCCATTTCACGAAAACAAATAACGAGATGCGAAAAACAAAGAAGTAGAAATGAAATTGCTGTTGGGCACGAGTACTGTATATTACATATCTATATTTATGGATTAATTGTATTACTCTTTAGATAAAACATTTGTCAGAAGAAAAACTTAAAAAAATAAAAATTATTAAAAAATTTGTTTGTGATATTAATATTAAAACAATGAAATAAGACAACGTTGCTTAAATGTTTAAAATATAACGCACAACGTTAGCCGGATTTATAAATGTTTTAAAAAGAGATTTTACTTATAATTTTCATCGATTTTAGATAAAACCGGATAATATCATCCATACGCTGTTGAAAATGATTCCGATTCATGGCATACATTAAGCGCACTACCGAATAATTAACCTTTGTTGTGGCTGAACAATAATTCCAGTTACTTATAGTATTTCATGAAATAAATAGTAAAAAATCATTATTTTACGAGCATAGTTGGGCGAATTTTGCAGAGAGAAATTGCATTACTGGCATAAATGCAGCATAGTTTCGTCAAAATTAAACAGTCAGCAAACTTAATAAATTGTTATATCAGAGAAGTACAGACTTTGTAAAATGTTTTCAACAATTTCTATCATATCGCTTATGCATAGTACTTACACACGAAATTATCATTTACACAAATCATAACGTTAGTTATTATTTTCTGACCAATGTAAGTCAAAGTAAGATGATTATATATAAATATTAATTAATTATTTAAAACTATATTGCGTCTATTTTTTGCATACTATAAAAGATAACTAAGATATCGAAATCAAACAAATTTTGTTAATATATCTTTAATGTATTTATTTAATTTATGGTATGTGGAAAATAAAATAACATGATGAAAGAGATAGAGGATGGAAAATAGAGGATAAAGAGAATCAATTGAAACTCCAGAATAGAGTCTGTTCATATTGATTGCGCATGTTACTAACAAGCAATTGGCGTTTGCAAATCCCACGTCTCAATGCGCCAATTGGAACTACGCATCAATAGATGTCGATTTTGATTTCACAAGAACGGTAATATCCCAGCAGATTATTAGATTATAACGTAGTAGCAAATTCAATTGAAAGCCCGATTTAGCAAATCAAATGTAATCGTGATACATGTATTTATTGATTAGCTTTGGATCAATGCTTTAAATAAACATTACTTGTCTAAACTGTTTTTGCATTGATTGTCCATTTCATGGGCTTTGCTTCATTTGTGCAAATTTTTAGATTAAATTAAAATAATCATCAATCAATCAATCAAACACGTTTAATTGTTTTTTCTAATTCAAAAGTAAATTATCATATAATAACTTCCAAAATGCATTTATATGCTATGTCAATTTCCCCTTTCAGAGCCATTCAAACGTGCTGGATCGTTGCTCATTTCAAGCAGTGCGCGCATCAATGAACCATACAAATTCTCGAATGCAACAATTAAATCCCAACGAGTCACTACGCGAGCAATTGCACGCACCCATCGAAATTGAGTGGCTGCGTGTGAAATATGTACCAATTCCGAGGACCTTCCGTGGAGACCGAGGCTCGATGAACCGCGAAAGCTAATTAATATCTTCGAGAAGTTGGGATATATGTATTTAGCCTTTCAATTGAACCGAACGTATGCCTGTTTCCCTCCCCCCCTTCTGGCGTGTATGTCGTCTACGTACAATTCGCTCGATTGTATGCGTGGGTATGTTTGTATATTCTACGAACGTGTACGCTGTGTATGCATGCGCGTAGGCGTGCACGTGACGCGGAACAAATGGCGATATTAATTACCGCGATTTGCCATCTCCGATACTGAAATCGACCCCTATTAATCTAAGCTTACACCTTTCGTTTGCCTGCACCTTGCTTGCTCCGTGAGAATATAATTCATCCTTGTTTAATCCTGTCGATATTGCTCTTTTGCTTATTATATTACTCTTTATGGTCCATAATTACCCGCAGAAGAAAATGATTATTTTCCCTGTAAACAAACTCCCGTAAGAAATAAATTAAAGTCATTTTATTAATATCATTAATTTCTAACAATAAGTATTTCTAAGGTAAATTGCACACAAATTAATCTTACAAAAAATAATAATAATCATATAAAATATATCTCTATTTCTTTCTGTCAAAAAATATTTTCTAAAAAATCACTGTTAGTGTATAATAAATAGCTTAACTGAAATAATCATTTAAAAGGGGTAAAGAGCAAATAAAATCATTAGACAAAATAAATGGTATACTGATTGTACATATTATTATTGTATAAAAATACGTCACACATAAATACAAGAAAGTGTATTCTACCGTGCGAGCAAATAAAATTTTAACTGTCTATTTTTCTCGTTTCATGTTTTTATCCGAAACAGTTGATGGGACCAATTACATATACGGCTCAACTAGCCGAATATTTGGTATTGACTTTTCGGACTTTTATGGATCATTCGTTACACAGAGTAGCGTTAAACGATGCGATTGGTTTACATTCTAGTAAAACATGTTTTTTTTTATTAAACAATGTCGCCACACGTCTCGCACAAAGTGTCCTACTTTTAGATCTGCAATATGATACTCCAGCTTGTTAAAATTGTACGGACAATGTAATTATCGCCGTGAAACAATCGACAGAGTTTTACATTTGAAATAATTTCATCACGGGATGAGAGACTACGTATAAATAATAAATATATCTTATACAATGTAGTGTATATACATGCTTTTCACGTCATTGCGCTTCACATTGTAATCACACTGTGCTGCAATTAAATGTTAAAACAGGAACGTGATTTTAGTTTAATATTTCAATGATGATTTCGTTAATCGAGATAATTATAAATAAAAATAATTCTGCATGCACTAATTGTACACAAAATACATAAAAATATATGTATAGAGACATACAGAATACATGATTTTTTAAATAGTTTCATAAATTATACCATATATATAACCGGAAAGTATACTTTCTCATTTAAGCATGCGATAAGAGTTGTTAATTAGAAAACCATGCAGAGTCTCAATCGCGCTGAAAGCGTAGTTCTATAATATATAAGAGAAGTTTTACAGAAGGTATTTCATGAAAAAAAATTCGCATAATT